TTTTAATCTATTCTCTTGACTGTAGTCCGATCTATAGTTTTGAATATAGTTTGAACTATAATCTGAACTGTAGTCTTGACAATAGCCTGAAATATAGTCTGTACCATAGTCAGAACTATAGTCTAGACTATAATCTGAACTGTAGTCTATACTACAGTCTAAACTATAGTCTGAACTATACTCAAGAATATAGTCTGAACTGTAGCTTTGACTATAGTCTGAAATGTAGTCTATACTATAGTCTAAACTATAGTCTAGAATGTAGTATGAACTATATTCTATAATATGGTCTGAACTGTAGTCTAGACTATAGTGTGAACTGTAGTCTAAACTATAGTCAGAACTGTAATCCTACCTATAGTTTGTTTTAACTATATATTAAACTATATCATCGATTATAATCTGGACTATAACATGAACAGTCTGAATTAGTCTGGATAATAGACTAACTATAGTCTGGACAATAGACTGAACTACAGTCTGGACAATAATCTGAACTATAGTCTTGACTATAATATCGACTATAGTCTGGACTACAATGCCAATTATTGTCTTGACTAATGTCTAGACAATAGTATCTACGGTCTGTACCATAATCTGGATTATTGTCTATACTACAGATTCGTAAATAGGCCCGAAACTAGGCTAGGCTTGCCTTAAGTCGCGACTATTGTAGTCTATACTATGTTCGTGACATATATACTAAAGTTTTTAGAATAGACGTGCTCTTTAGAATTGTCTGAAGTCTCCTCTATAGAATAGATTATAATACCGATTAAAGTGTATACTCTACTGAGATATTCTGAAACCAAAAAAAGGTTCATCTGTATTAAAGAATTAAAATACAACCTTATGTTTTCTCAGGGTTTAAGAAAGAACTTTGAATAGAGAATGAGAAAAGCCAACATCTGTTTCTTCCGATTAAGAAGAACTGAATTATACTTTGTTCTTCCAGAAAGGAACACAATTTAAACCAAAAGAAACAAAATGCATGCCACAATGATGAATAAGGAAAACTTTAGCAATTTCTCCAAACGATCTTTATATAATGACAGCTTGTTAAGAGATTTAGCTTGTGAACTTTTAAAAGTAGAGAATGTTTCAGCTTAACAAGCATTACAACAAAGATTTCTCTATTTAAATGATTCATCAATATATGTTTTGGAATCAGTTTTTAACAATTGTTTTGCATTCATGTTATACATAATAAACAACTAAAGTTGTTAAAAAGGATACCTTAAGATACTCTTTGGAATTAACTGTTTAGCCTGAGCTATTTCATTTCTTATAAACATTTCTTTTTTTTTCAAGGATTCTGCTTTTCTGAAAGTTAATATCCAACTTGCAAAGGCAAAAGTTATTTGTGCAAGTGAGTAAAAGTAGCCAAAGAAGTAATTTAATAACACACAATAGCAAATTAGTAAATTTTATGGGGATTTTCTTTAAATTAGTAATTGTTAGAACATTTAAAAGATTTGTAGTTGTGATTTTAAATTCCAATTGTTTACAAGTTTTACAATAATTTTTAGTTTAGGTTTTCTTACTTATCTGTTCTTTAAAGTTGCATTGTATTTGAAGTAATTTATTTGGAACAAAATATCAACTGCCAAAACTTTGAAAACAAAAAGAAAAAAAAACTTAAACAAAACATCTCACAGCAAATTTACAAAATCCTCGACAAGATAACTAACTGCTTCTTACTACAGAGTCTTCTATGAGCAAAGGTTCAGAAGGTGAAGACAACAACATCTTTTTAATAAAATTTACTTTATATAACTTGCTTGCAAATGTGTTTTTAATCTTTTATTTGGTCTTTTTAAACAATAATCTTTACATTTATTGTTGAATACAGAATTTTTTATTGCAAATGTTATTCTTATGTTTAGATTTTAATAATTTTGTCACTTTCTTTTCTCTAATTTTATAAAATTATTATAATTTGCCAATATCCAAAAACAAAACTTAACGAAATTGTTTTCAAAATTTGTAAAAGTTTTTAAAGTTTAAGTCTAATTTACATTAGCATAACAATTTTCAATACTTTTTTATGTAAAATATTAGATTTTGAAAAATTTTTGAGGATTTTTTTTTTTATAAAAAATTTTGAAATTATTTTGATAATGTGTTGAGTTCAGGCAGGAATCCCGATTTCTTAAACTTTCTGATATACAGAAAAATTTTTAACATTTTCGAAAAGTTTTTAAACTATTTTTTTAAAATGAATTTATAGATTTACAGCTGTTTCTTAAACTTAAACAATAAGATTTAATTTTGAAAAATTTTTAAAATTTTTAGAAAAGATTTTTCATTTACCAAATAAAACCAAACTTGAGAGTCGTCCACAGAGTATAACCAAACATACACATACAAACAATTCACTTCGATTTGAAAACTTTTTCAATTAAAGTTTAGTTTTTTTTTAAATATTTATTCGACTAAAGTCTGAACAATAGTCTGAACTATAGTCTATACTATAGTCTTGATTATAGTCTATACTATAATCTTGACTATAGTCTATATAATAGTCTATACTATAGTCTTGACTATAGTCTATACTATAGTCTTGACTATAGGCTATATTATAGTCTTGACTATAGGCTATATTATAGTCTTGACTATAGTCTATACTATAGTCTTGACTATAGTCTATACTATAGTCTTGACTATAGGCTATATTATAGTCTTGACTATAGTCTATACTATAGTCTTGACTATAGTCTTGACTATAGTCTATACTATAGTCTTGACTATAGTCTTGACTATAGTCTATACTATAGTCTTGACTATAGTCTTGACTATAGTCTATACTATAGTCTTGACTATAGTCTATACTATAGTCTATACTATAGTCTTGACTATAGTCTATACTATAGTCTTGACTATAGTCTATACTATAATCTTGACTATAGTCTATACTATAGTCTTGACTATAGTCTATACTATAGTCTTGACTATAGTCTATACTATAGTCTTGACTATAGTCTATACTATAGTCTTGACTATAGTCTATACTATAGTCTTGACTATAGTCTATACTATAGTCTTGACTATAGTCTATACTATAGTCTTGACTATAGTCTATACTATAGTCTTGACTATAGTCTATACTATAGTCTTGACTATAGTCTATACTATAGTCTTGAATATAGTCTATACTATAGTATTGACTATAGTCTATACTATAGTATTGACTATAGTCTATACTATAGTATTGACTATAGTCTATACTATAGAATTGACTATAGTCTATACTATAGTCTTGACTATAGTCTATACTATAGTCTTGACTATAGTCTATACTATAGTCTATACTATAGTCTTGACTATAGTCCATACTATAGTCTTTACTATAGTCTATAGTATAGTCTTGACTATAGTCTATACTATAGTCTTGACTATAGTCTATACTATAGTCTTGACTATAGTCTATACTATAGTCTTGACTATAGTCTATACTATAGTCTTGACTATAGTCTATACTATAGTCTGAACTATAGTCTATACTATAGTCTTGATTATAGTCTTGACTATAGTCCATACTATAGTCTGAACTATAGTCTATACTATAGTCTTGATTATAGTCTATACTATAGTCTTGACTATAGGCTATATTATAGTCTTGACTATAGTCTATACTATAGTCTTGACTATAGTCTATACTATAGTCTTGACTATAGTCTATACTATAGTCTTGACTATAGTCTTGACTATAGTCTTGACTATAGTCTATACTATAGTCTTGACTATAGTCTATACTATAGTCTTGACTATAGTCTATACTATAATCTTGACTATAGTCTATACTATAGTCTTGACTATAGTCTATACTATAGTCTTGACTATAGTCTATACTATAGTCTTGACTATAGTCTTGACTATAGTCTATACTATAGTCTTGACTATAGTCTATACTATAGTCTTGACTATAGTCTATACTATAATCTTGACTATAGTCTATACTATAGTCTTGACTATAGTCTATACTATAGTCTTGACTATAGTCTATACTATAGTCTTGACTATAGTCTATACTATAGTCTTGAATATAGTCTATACTATAGTATTGACTATAGTCTATACTATAGTATTGACTATAGTCTATACTATAGTATTGACTATAGTCTTGACTATAGTCTATACTATAGTCTTGACTATAGTCTATACTATAGTCTTGACTATAGTCTTGACTATAGTCCATACTATAGTCTTTACTATAGTCTATAGTATAGTCTTGACTGTAGTCCATACTATAGTCTTTACTATAGTCTATAGTATAGTCTTGACTATAGTCTATACTATAGTCTTGACTATAGTCTATACTATAGTCAAGACTATAGTCATGACTATGGTATTGACTAAAGTCTATACTATAGTCTTGACTCTAGTCTTTACTATAGTCTGTACTATTGTCTTAACAGTACTATAGTATTGACTATAGTCTGTACTATAGTTTTAATTATAGTCGCTACTATAGTCTGGACAATAGTCTGTACTATAGTCTAGACCGTAGTCTATACTATAGTCTGTACATTCTTGTATAGTTTAAACTGTATCGATTATAGTCTGTACTACAGCCTGAACTATAGCCCAACTATTGCTTCGAGACCATATCGATTGTAGTCTAGACTACATTGTCTTGTATAGACTATAGTCTTGACTATATTCTCAACTATAAATTAGACTGAAACTTTGACAAAAATCTCGACTATTATCTTGAATACAGGTTATAGTCCAGACTATATACACACTTCATCATATAAATGACTACAATCTAAAACATTTGCAAACTTCAGTGAAGAGTTCTTTTTTTCTTTCTAAAAACTCTGCATACTTTATGTTGGCCACACTCTGTAAGACAAACACTATTGAATGACAAATTTTGTTTAAATTAAAATGGAAAAATTTTCAGTTCTCCTTTTTTTTAGAAAACCTAAAGAAAACGAAAAAAACTAAAATATAAAAAAACTTAAACAAAAAGAAAATAAGTAATTTAAATATAGTTTTTTTTTGTTGGTTTTGTTGTTCTAATTTAATCCTTTATTATGCTGTTTTTATAGAAGGATAATTTATTAATTTATATATATATTTTTTTTTGTAGCATTTTGTGTTTTTTTTATGTGTTTAATATTTTTAAGTAATAATCTTTACTTTACACTTCTTTTTTTTACAAAGTTTAAATTGCTGGTGATTTAGTTTTCTTTACTATTGAATGAAAATATATATATGAACAGGTTTGTTTGTTTTTTTTGTAAATTTTTTTGAAGTTTTTTTTATTTTAACTCGTTTAAACAAATATATATTTTTTTGTTTTGTTTTATAATATATATAATTTTTTTTGTATTTTTTTAACATTTTTGTTGAAATAAATTTTAAATGTTATTCTTTTTTTTTAAAGGTTTTGCTAAAGGTGTAGATTTTCAAAATATAAAAAAATTATACAAAAAAAATGTAAACAAATTTTGAAAATTTGATTTGTTTTAAGTTTAAATTTAACAAAGAAATAGCAAAAAAAAGAAGAACGGAAAAATAATAATAATAATAAGAAAAAACAAATTAAAGTTTAAATTTTAAAGTTAAAGAAATTGTAGTTTTAAGTTATATAGATAAATTATTTTATAACAATATTTAAGGGTAAAAAAAGGAAATAATAGAAACAAAAACAAAAGCACTAAAAGTTAAAAGAAACTAGTTTTTAAATTAAGTTAAATTTGTTTGCTAAAACTTTTTTTTTTTGTGTAAATTGAGGAGTTGTGTACATAAATAACAAGGCTTTTTTGAGGGGTAAAGTTTTCAAGGGAGAGGTTTTCAAACTATTTGTAAACAATATTAGTTTCAGTTTTTAATTTTAACTCTTCAAATTTTAAGTTTAAGGGAAAATATTATTAAGAATTATTTCCATTTTTTTTGGGAGTTTTTATAAGTTTTGAATAGAAATTGTTTGTTTTTGAAATATTCTCACCATATTATTTTCATCATTTGTTATAAAAAGGTTTGTTTTCTTAAGGGGAACGAACCTTTTTAAATTTTTAATATTTTTTTTTTTTTTTTGTATTTTTTTTAAATTTTTCATTTTTCATTTGTGTTGTTAATCATGAGTGTAAAGTGTTTGTATTGTATTATGGTTTCAACGTGTTAGAGGTCGTGTCATCATGGTCACATGTTTCAAAATGGAGGCATTTTTATCGATAAGACAAGAAAAAGTATTACCAAATATATTCTCTTCTAGCATAACATCTTCTTCGTGTTGTTGGTCGTAGTTATGGGCCGGTATTATATCATTGGCATTGGTGGCGGCGGCCAAAAGCATCATAGCTGCTGCTGCAGAATCCAAAGAGGATTGTGTGCCATTAGTGGCTGTGGTCCAATATTTACAGGTGATTATGGTTTGTTTGGTAGGCTGTTCTTCCAAATTCGTAATGCTGTTATAGGGAGTAACTTCTTGCAGCTGTTGCTGCTGCTGTTCCTTAGCGGCTTTGAGTGTTTCGTTTAGTTTTTGTTTATAAGCATTCAAATCGGTTATGTTATCATTATTGTTGTTGTTATTATGTATATTATTGTTATTATTATTATGGCTGCTATAGTGCAATTGCTGTTGTTGTTGTTGCTGCTGATAGAAATTTTGTGAAGCTGAATGTCTTCTTTTGCGATTGGCGGCTAATTTCAATTTGGCCGCTGAATTATTTAAAAAATTTTGCATTCTTTTGTAACTATTACCCGGCAAAGTAGAGGGTGGCGTTAGTGCGTTTATATTCTGTAAGTTTTTTAGATTTTTCTCTTCTACCAACTTTTGTGTACCCTTTAAGGTTTCTCTATCTTCATCTTCTTCAGCTACTGCTGCTGCTTCCTCGTCTTCATCGTTATCGTCTTCATTTTGTGGCAAATTTTCCTTAATAATATTATTTGCCATTTCATTTTGTTTATTTTTATTAAACATTTCCTCCTCTAGTTGTATATTAGAGGGTATATTAGTAGTAGTTTGTTGCCATATTTTAGCCAAATTATCATGTTCCCAATTTAAAGTTTCCATATATTGTGTATCCTCACTTAAAGAGCCACCCACTTGTTTTAACAATTTCATGGGTTTCATAAAGTTTGTTGTTGTTGTTGTTGCTATTTCATTACCCTCCTTTTCCCTAGTGCCCTCAAAGTTGTTCTTTAATGGTTTATGTTGCCATATATTATTATCTTCCTCTTTGTCATTAAATTGCCAAAGATTTTTTGTGTTTGTTTCCTCTACTGCGGCTGTTAAGTTCCAATTATTAACCATTTCCGTTTGCTTAAGCATGTCTTTATATTCATCAGTTTCTTGTGTTAATTTTCCATTATTATCTGGCTTTAATAAATCCTCTATTAATTGATTAACTTTTTGCAACATGGAAACTTGCATTGGATCTGTTACCACATTTTCTTTTATATCACAATTCCAGGGATTTTTCATAGCATCCATAGACATTTCTTTGTTATTGGTATTATTAAACATTTTATCTTCCATTTCTCCAGCTACAGTGTCAGTTAAAATATCTGTAGTTTCGCCTATATATAAATCTTGCATATAACGTAAATCACTCATTATTTCATCAGCTTCTAATTGTAGTTCATCTCTTAGTAAGCGATTAGCAGGCAAAGATTTGCCATATTCACAGCTATTGCAAACAGCACACATGCCCCACAAAGTATGCAGGGAATTGCTGTCCAAAGAGTTTTCTTCACTTCTTTCCATTTCCACATTAGAGGGAAATTTCCTTTTAATATCTAGCTGCTGCTGTTGTTGCACTAGTAGTTGTTGTTGCTCTTGGGGCAAACAACGTCTTTGGTGGCATTGTTTTTCTACCTCATTCATAGACCAATTTTGAGCCAATTGTGGCTGTTGCTGTTGCACTCTGGCAGCACAAAAATCTACTTCATCACAAATGGCATTGTCTGACATCCATATGGTATTGTTTTCCATACTATTACCGCTACTAACAGTTGCTATATTATGCATATTATGACCCGGGGTCCAATTGAAATGGCCGGCATTTAAATGATTTTCGGCGGCTGCTTTGGCGGCAGCTGCCACAGCTTTAGTAACAGCGGCCATAATGGCTTCATTGTTAGCCTGGCGACTCAAAGAAAATGTATTATTAAACATATTAGTAACCTCCACCTGGGGTGTAGGGAAAGCTGTGGGCAATTCCACCATTTTGGCGGCCGCCAATTGAAAATCTTGTTCCTCCGTCTGGCAGGCTATTTCCCCAGAACGTTTTACCCGAAATTTAATAACAAAGTTATCATTTTTATTCTCCTCATTAGATTTTCTGCCATATTTCAATAGATTAGTATTGGAAGTAGCCACTTCTTCATCTGCCATATAGATATCATTACGTGTGTATTCTAAATATTCTTCGGAATCATAACGCAATAAACCACTGCTGGTGCGTTCAAATTCTACCGTGTCCAGAGCATTGCTTATATCGAAAGTATGACCATCAACAAAATTCTCTATAGGATGGAAATGTGTACGCTCAGAATTCAAAAGATTCTCTTCCTCACCACTTCTAAAGAAATCCTTGGGCAAACGTGTAGCATTCGAACTTTGCAAAGGTTTCGTTTGCGGCTGTACTAGGCCGCATTGTTTAATGCGACTATAGGCCACAAAACCACTAGTGTTAGCACAATGATTGGGTAGTGTAACCGCTGGTCCCATAACCATATCGGCGGCTTCCTCGCCATGCTCTTGATTGACAATGCTATCGCATACATCATTGCCATACATTTCAGTGAGCGACATGGGATTGGAGGCACACCAGGACTTTAAATCTGGTTGTGCATTATGTCCATAAGCGGGAGCTTCCCACGTAGCACCAGTAATGTTGGCAGCCGAGCTGTAGCTGGCTAAATTATTATTATCCGACCTTAGAGAGTCCATTTCTTGGGCTTGTGTGAGTAGACAATTGTAGGGAGGACCAGCATTGATGCCCTCCGACCATTTTAGACTTTGGTAAGGAGGAAATTGTAGATTAGCACCTAAATTTTGATTATTCAATGTTAAAGAAACAGAAGAGGAGTCTTTAGATTTGTTAAAATCACTAATACCACCATCAGTATCGGTCTGTAAAGAGGACATCTGTAAGAAGAGAAATAAAAAGGTTAAGTTAATATAACATGAGATTTAGATAGATAGATAGATAGATAGATAGATAGATAGATAGATAGATAGATAGATAGATAGATAGATAGATAGATATATAGATAGATAGATAGATAGATAGATAGATAGATAGATAGATAGATAGATAGATAGATAGATCGATAGATAGATAGATAGATAGATAGCTAGATAGATAGATAGATAGATAGATAGCTAGATAGATAGATAGATAGATAGATAGATAGATAGATAGATAGATAGATAGATAGATAGATATATAACTACATAGAAAACTCACCTTTTCACCATTTGCAGCATTACCCACATCCAGCTGACTCAATTTCTTATTCGAATGCCACACCTTATAAAGAAAACTTTCATCGGTATCGCCGGCCGCTGAATTAGTACCAATAGCATCTACACAATCACCAGATGTAGACCAGATGGAATTTTGCAAGAAAACATTAATCGATGGCGTGTGAGCACCCAAAGAAGCACCAGCTTCAGTTGTACGTAGAACACCGCCGCGAACACCACCCACAGACTTATCAAAATCATCCAGATTACTGGGCATGGAGAAATAATCGCTTGAATTAGCAATATCGGCGCCAGCGCCAGAACTAGCGCTACTATCATCTAAACGTGTATTGTTCGTAATCATGGATGATGTTGAAGCCGTCGAAGATAATTTATTATTCAATTGATGATCATAGTTTTGTTGCTGGTAATTGGACCAGAAATTCCATAAATCCTTCTTGAAGGGAGCCACCAAAGCATTGAGTGATGTAGTGGCATAGAAAGCAGAAGATATGCCGCCTCCTAAGGGATTGTTAGCTTTAAGGGAATTGTCTACAGTTGGCTGGCTGCTGAGGTTGGGAGTAGGTTCAGCATTTTTCCATAAGGCCTCTACACTGCTATTGAATTTAGCCTTAAATTGTTGAAAATCTAAAGGATCCACCGAATCGTTGGACTCCTCCAAACAAGTTTCTATATCTAGATTAGATTTTTGCCCCTGGCCTTCACGTTGATACAAACGTTTGGGATTGGGATTCAAACTATCCATGGCTAGTTCAGAAACAGAAGCCAAGGTATTATCATCATAGTCCTCATCAACATAATCTACACCTTCTTCGGTGTATTGTTGTTGGCACTCATCATCTTGATCATACTCATCATCATCACAACAGAAGGATAAATCAATGTAGGGTTTCATCATTAGAGGTTTCTCCTCCTTGGCGGGTATTTCATTTAGAATTTTACGCACATTATGCTCTTCATGATCCATGCTATCGGAATTACTGCGATTACGTTTGTTAGCGCCACCACCAACACCAGCGTTTTGACGACTCAAAAACTCTTTTATCAAATCGGGACCCATTTCCCAGCAACCTTTAAAATCGGTATCCCAAGCCGGTGAAGAATTACGATGATGTGTGTAGTGATGATATTTATTACCACCAATAGAATTGGGATTGGTACCAACGGATAATTTGCGTATGTTTTGTATAGTTTTACCTTTGCACAGAGCTACAAGGTGGTGTATTAAAGATTTTAAGAATTATTTTATGGGCAATTAAAGGATTTTTAAAAGAAGTCTCAAACTTACCTTGATTACGACGACGTTTAGATTTCTTTTTAACACTTGCTGCTGCTGCTACTGCTCCTTGATGTTGTTGTTGTTGTACGTCGCTACTATCTACGGCTGTTCCAACAGTTGCACTCACTTTTTGTTCTGCTTTTAATTTCTTTTCCACACTTTTATCCGCTGATACACTACGATTATTATTATTATTGTTTGCACCAAAATTTGAAGACGATATTATAGAACTAGCACTACTTGAAGTTAAAGATGCTGAAGTATTATTATTATTATTGTTATTTATATTATTAGAATTGCTATCAACTACTATAGAACGTCCTACAACGGGCCAAGTTAAAGATTTTGCATTACGACGCCAGATGCGAAAAGAATCTTCCATTTCCTTGGACAGGGCCGGAAAGGCTCGAAAATAACGTTTTTTCGGATCGTTATCTAAATCATTTAATGAATCCGCTGTTGTTGTAGCAACCACATGTTGATGATGACGTTTACTATCTGAGTTTACAGTTGAATTGTGAGAATTATTATAAATTTGTGTTAAATGTTGTTGAGTATGAGCTTGTTGCTGATGACGTGTATGATGATTATTGCTGCTGCTGCTACTGCTGGCTTGTTGTTGCACTTGTGTTGTTGATGTTTGAGTTTGTTGTTGTTGTATTAGAGAATCGGTATTGAGATGAGTCTCAATTAGAAAACGTTCTTCATCACTTAGATTTTGTGTTTGTTTTTCAATATCCTTTAATTTTTCACACAATTCATCAACTAGTTGTTCAATGGTAGCAGTCTTTATAGGAAAAAATATGTTTTTTATTAAATTTCTATTATAAAAAAATTGAAAAATTATATTCGAAATCCCTACCTCCTGTTCATTAGATACAATTTCTCTTAAACACTGTACAGCATTTAGTTTTTTTAAGGTCTCAGTATCCGAAGGTAAATGAAAACGTTTGTGACCTCCCTTGCGTTGGGCGAAAAATGCCTAAATTGTTTTGAAATGTTAAAGAAACTATTAATAACGGTTTTTAAGGATAATTGTTAAATTGAAACAAAGCGGAAAGTTTTAAATAACATTTGTTTACAGAGCAAAAAAAAAATCAAATTAGCAGATGCCGGCCATATAGAAATATGCCGGCGATATAGAAAATATAATAAAATTTAGATTTTTGCAATTGTTTTGTTTTTTTCAGCTAATTTGATTTTCTTTCTCTTTATACTAAAATTTTCTTTTAATTATGGAACTATTTCTTATTGATTTACTTCCAAGTTGCTGAATTCAATTGGATCGTTTACTTGAACTGACGATTGTAAGAGAGATAGTAGAAGTCTTGTATAGATCTGTGGTGATTCAACGCCTAATTGCTCCAAACGTGATACTAACCAATCAGAGATGGCGTTCACGGCTCGAGGCGATACTAGTTGAGGATACTTCATACCTTTATTTGTTTGTTTGTGGTGATTTTTTAAAATTTTAAATGGAAAAAAATATAACAAAATATTGATATAGTTGTTTGTATTTTATAATTTTCAACAGATAATTTTGTACAAGTTTATGGGAAAAAAGGTGCCAAAAAGTAGAGAAACAACGTTAAGAAAAGTTGGGAATTAGTTATGAAAAAGTTATTTGGAGGCCGAAATGTTTGTGAAAGTTAGCTTTGAAACAAAATTAACTTTAATTCTACTTTCTATCGTTTAAAAGCTTTAGAATTCTCATGAAAGCTAAAGCTTTCATAATATTAACTTATATTCTAAAAAGCTCAAGATTTTTTAAAACAAAAAATCGATTGTAAAAAAGTTTTATATTTTCTAAAAGCTTGTGAAAAGCTTTAGAAGTCCTAAAACAAAAAAATATTCATTTAAAAGCTTTAGAATTTCTAAAACCAAATCTATCACTAAAAAGCTTTAGTAATTTTAACACTAAAATTATTTCGAAACTAAAATAAATCCATCAAAAGCTTTAAAGCATTCAATTTTCAAAAAAAAACTCAAAAACTTGGAAAAGGGTATAATTTTCTCGAAAAAGAGTTTTAAACACTTTTGTAAGCCAAAATCTTACAAAACAAAAAAAAAAAAAAGCTCTAGAAAAAAGCTTTTTTTAAAAAAGCTCTAAAAATAATTAAAAACTTTCAACTTTCAAAATTTACTATAAGGGCTTTTTAAGAATTTGTGTGTGTAAAAGCTCAAACACAAACTTTTGAAAATATAAATCAAAAGCTCTCGAAAAAAGTTTTTTTTTTTAATTAAAATCGATTTTAGAACTTAAGTATCTCACTTAAAAGCTCTTTATTTTTTAAAACCAAACTTCATTAGGAAAATAACCCAAGAGCTTTTCTAAAAGCTTTAAATTTATAAAATAACCTAAAAACCCGAAAAAAAGCTTTTTTAAAAGGTCTTGGGAAACCCATAAACTATAGAACTTAGAAAAGAAATCAAAAGCACTCAAAAAACTTTTTTGAAAGCTCTGCATTTCCACAACAAATATAAGAGCTTTTACAAGTAATCAAAATCCTTAAAAACTGTTTTTTTAATTTTTTGTTTTATAAAACAAACTCAATAACTTACAAAAGGAATTTGAAGCTTTCGAAAAAAGCTTTTTTGAAAGCTTTGGATTTCGAAAAGGAATCTAAAGCTTTGAAAATTGTTTATAAATATGAATCTAAAGCTTTTAAAAACGCTTATTTTAAACTCTGGAGTATAAATATGTTATACAAGCTTCAAAGTAAATGTTTTTAAAAGCTTCTGGATTTCTGAAATAAACTTACAAAAGGAATCCAAAGCTCTCGAAAGCTTTTTAAAGCTCTAAATTTTGTAAATATAAAAACAGAACTCTTAAAAAGAATCTAAAGCTCTTCAAAATCTGTTATAAAGATTACAGAGGGAATTTAGTTTTTAAAAGCTTTTGTTTACAAAAGGAATTTAAAGCTCTGGAAAAAAGCTTTTTTTTAAGTTCTGAATTTCCCAAACAATAATCAAAAACTCCTAAAAGTTAACTAAAACATATGTTATAAACATTTCAGAGGGAATTTTGTTATTAAAAGCTTAAAACACAAACTTTTTGGAAATTTTGAAAATTATTTAAAATTTTGAAACCCTTTAAGCTTCAATTAACGTTGTTTCTCAATAGAACAGTTACACAAAAAAAAAAACTCTACTTTTACAAAATAAGTTAACAAAATAGAAAACACAAAATAAAATTTGAAAAACAAACAAAATAGATTAATAATTTTCAAATAAAACTTAAAGTCCTTTGCAATTTTTCAAACTACAATTTAAAAGCCAAATTATTTTCATAGAAAAACTATCTCTTTTCAACTTACAATAGCCAAAAGTAAAATTAAACAACAACAACAATATAAAAACGAACCAAAAAGTGGTAAATTTAAAACTAAAACTTAAAATTAAATGAAAGAAAAAAAAATATGTAACAATTAGAAAACCATTAAAGCTTTAATATTATTGTAATAGAAATAAAAAAGCTTTAAGGAAATTGTTAAAAAAAATTAATTTTTGGTAATTGTAGTTAGTGTTTTGAAATTTTGAAACAACAAATGGCAAATAGGACCTTAAGTGTTGGTGGTAAAGGGTTAAAAATAGGTTGTATTTTCTTTTATAAAGGATAATAAAAAACAATTAACTTACCGTTACTTTGCCAAAAAAAAATTAAAAGCTTAACTTTGTCTTCCTTCCCTTTAACTACAAGAAATTGTGGTTTTAATGAGTTAGTTACTATTATTTCCTTTTGTTTTTGTTTTGATAGCGAGAGAGAAACTTTCGAAAAATGTTGTTGGTTTTGTAATTAAAATAAATTTTAAAGTTGCTAGAAAATTGTTGTATAAACACTCCTACTTTTGATGTCCTTTTGTTGTTGTAAAAGGATATTTTTAAACGTGGTCTGCTTAATAGTTCTACTTTTATATTTCTCTGGGATTTTCGAGTTGTTGTTGTTGTTTTTTGTGTAAAAATGTAACGCTAAATTTTGCTAGAACGTGGGATTTTCTTCTTCTTCTTTTTGTACAAAGTATGTTGTTGTTGTTGTTTTTCTTAACGTTTTATATGTTTTTGCTTATAATGTTATAATGTTGTTCTTGTTGTTGTTATTTGTTTTAGAGTTGTTGTTGTTGTTGTGTGTTTAAGATTTATTCCTCGTATTGAACTGTTTCAGCCAAATGAAGAGCTACAACTGTATCCAAAGCTGCTAAGGCAACACTTGTTACGTTGCGGTACAACTGAACTCCTGGTGCAGCAGTTTTTGGGGCAGCTGGAAAACAAGCGCCGTTGTTGCTGGTAGCTCCTGAGTTTATGTTATAAGATTGCATGTTTAGCAAATCATTTTCCTTAAATACTCTTAGATGTAAAGTCAACATTGTTTTATATCAAAACATACAACAAAGTTTTTCACAAAATCTTCTTTGGTTAAATTCCAAAACAATACTTTTTTTTGTCTTCTCTAGTGGTTTAAGCGTCAAAACCAACGTTTTCAAAACAAATAATAGTTGTAAACAGTAAATGTGTTGTGAGTTTGTTGTTGTTGTTGCAATCCTTTTCTTTTAATAATATGATTTCATTATTTCAATTGTTGTTGCTGCTGCTGTTGTTGTTGTTATTCTTGTGTTCTTGTTGTTGTTTTTTGGTTAAGCAAATTAAAAAATTGTTGTTAACAAAAAAAACAAATGGTAAAAAGAAACAAGTTGTACAAAAGAAAAATAAAATACGAAAAGAAAATTTAAGAAAACATTTAACGTTATGTTTTTGTTGATTTAATATTTGTTATATTAAGCATTGCTTGACGTGTTTTTTAATCCTTTAAAAAAAGTATTTTGTCAGCAATTGTTTGCCTAAGATTTTAGTTAATAAATTTCCTTTTAACGTTAAGTTTTTTTTTTCAAATTTATCAAAAAATAAACAAAACAAAATAACAAAGTGTTTGTTGCAACAAATTTCTCTTCAATTGTTGTTGTTGTTGTTGTATATGTGAGTAGTAGCAAATGTTTATTAATTCGTTTTAGTTGTTGTTTTACTGCTCCTTTTTTTTTAGTTCTTTAAAATATCTTCATATTTGCCCGTTTCTTTGTTTTTTTTGGTTTTGTTGTTAGGAGTTTTTCTTCTTTTTATTTCGTTAGTTGTTGCCTTGCTTCTCTTGTAGTTGTTGTTGTTGCTTACTAATCAGCTTTAGAAAACTGCTGTTTCCAAGGTATAATTCTACTCTTAGTTAGAGTTATAATTCTTTTAGATTTCTGCAAAGATAAATATCAAGAAAATTCACAAATTAAGTAAAATGTTTGTTTTCTTAACTATTAGCAATCAATTTTTTTTAATGTTATTTATGTAAATTTACAAAAAATTATAAACATTTAAAGCTTTTACTATAAAATGGTGTACATGATTAACATTTAACATTTAAATTTGTCAGTAAAATGTTGTTTTAGACATTTGCTCATATAATTTACATAAAAAATGTTAATTTTACTTTTCTTTCGTTATAGTTAATATTGGTTTTAATAAAAATTTATTTAAAAATTTATTTAAAAATTTCATAATTTTAGTAATCTTATCGTAAATTGAAATGTGTGATAAATAAAATTACATATGTGTTTTCAACATCTTATAATAACGTCAAACGAATATTAGTTAATAATTTGTTATTTTTAGTTTAAATGGAAATTATAAAGTTTTTAGAACAATAAAACTTTACAATTCTATTTAGTTTTAGCTTAGTTCTAGTTCAGTTGTAGCTCATTTCCAGTTCAGTTCTAGTTCTGTTCTAGTTCAGTTCTTGTTCAGTTCTTGTTCAGTTCTAATTCAGTTCTAGTTCAGTTCTAGTCCAGTTCTAGTTCAGTTCTAGTTCAGTTCTAGTTCAGTTCTAGTTCAGTTCTAGTTCAGTTCTAGTTCAGTTCTAGTTCAGTTCTAGTTCTGTTCTAGTTCAGTTCTAGTTCAGTTCTAGTTCTGTTCTAGTTCAGTTCTAGTTCTAGTTCTGTTCTAGTTCTGTTCTAGTTCAGTTCTAGTTCAGTTCTAGTCCAGTTCTAGTTCAGTTCTAGTCCAGTTCTAGTTCAATTCTAGTTCAGTTCCAGTTCAGTTCTAGTTCAGTTCTAGTTCAGTTCTAATTCAGTTCTAGTTCTAGTTCAGTTCTAGTTCAGTTTTAGTTCAGTTCTAGTTCAATTCTAGTTCAGTTCCAGTTCAGTTCTAGTTCAATTCTAGTTCAGTTCTAGTTCAGTTCTAGTTCAGTTCTAGTTCAGTTCTAGTTCAGTTCTAGTTCAGTTCTAGTTCAGTTCTAGTTCAGTTCTAGTTCAGTTCTAGTTCAGTTCTAGTTCAGTTCTAGTTCAGTTCTAGTTCAGTTCTAGTTCAGTTCTAGTTCAGTTCAGTTCTAGTTCAGTTCTAGTTCAGTTCTAGTTCAGTTCTAGTTCAGTTCTAGTTCAGTTCTAGTTCAGTTCTAGTTCAGTTCTAGTTCAGTTCTAGTTCAGTTCTAGTTCAGTTCTAGTTCAGTTCTAGTTCAGTTCTATTTCAGTTTTAGTTCAGTTTTAGTTCAGTTCTAGTTCAATTCTAGTTCAGTTCTAGTTCAGTTCTAGTTCAGTTCTAGTTCAGTTCTAGTTCAGTTCTAGTTCAGTTCTAGTTCAGTTCTAGTTCAGTTCTAGTTCAGTTCTAGTTCAGTTCTAGTTCAGTTCTAGTTCAGTTCTAGTTCAGTTCTAGTTCAGTTCTAGTTCAGTTCTAGTTCAGTTCTAGTTCAGTTCTAGTTCAGTTCTAGTTCAGTTCTAGTTCAGTTCTAGTTCAGTTCTAGTTCAGTTCTAGTTCAGTTCTAGTTCAGTTCTAGTTCAGTTCTAGTTCAGTTCTAGTTCAGTTCTAGTTCAGTTCTAGTTCAGTTCTAGTTCAGTTCTAGTTCAGTTCTAGTTCAGTTCTAGTTCAGTTCTAGTTCAGTTCTAGTTCTGTTCTAGTTCAGTTCTAGTTCTAGTTCTAGTTCTAGTTCTAGTTCAGTTCTAGTTCTAGTTCTGTTCTAGTTCTAGTTCTAGTTCAGTTCTAGTTCTAGTTCTAGTTCAGTTCTAGTTCAGTTCTAGTTCAGTTCTAGTTCAGTTCTAGTTCAGTTCTAGTTCAGTTCTAGTTCAGTTCTAGTTCAGTTCAGTTCTAGTTCAGTTCTAGTTCAGTTCTAGTTCAGTTCTAGTTCAGTTCTAGTTCAGTTCTAGTTCTAGTTCTAGTTCAGTTCTAGTTCAGTTCTAGTTCAGTTTAGTTCAGTTCTAGTTCAGTTCTAGTTCAGTTCTAGTTCAGTTCTAGTTCAGTTCTAGTTCAGTTCTAGTTCAGTTCTAGTTCAGTTCTAGTTCAGTTCTAGTTCAGTTCTAGTTCAGTTCTAGTTCAGTTCTAGTTCAGTTCTAGTTCAGTTCTAGTTCAGTTCTAGTTCAGTTCTAGTTCAGTTCTAGTTCAGTTCTAGTTCAGTCCTAGTTCAGTTCTAGTTCAGTTCTAGTTCAGTTCTAGTTCAGTTCTAGTTCAGTTCTAGTTCAGTTCTAGTTCAGTTCTAGTTCAGTTCTAGTTCAGTTCTAGTTCAGTTCTAGTTCAGTTCTAGTTCAGTTCTAGTTCAGTTCTAGTTCAGTTCTAGTTCAGTTCTAGTTCAGTTCTAGTTCAGTTCTAGTTCAGTTCTAGTTCAGTTCTAGTTCAGTTCTAGTTCAGTTCTAGTTCAGTTCTAGTTCAGTTCTAGTTCAGTTCTAGTTCAGTTCTAGTTCAGTTCTAGTTCAGTTCTAGTTCAGTTCTAGTTCAGTTCTAGTTCAGTTCTAGTTCAGTTCTAGTTCAGTTCTAGTTCAGTCCTAGTTCAGTTCTAGTTCAGTTCTAGTTCAGTTCTAGTTCAGTTCTAGTTCAGTTCCTGATTATAGTCTTATAGTAACTCTGGACTATAGTCCAATCTGTAGACTTTTTGGTGTTCTTCGGGGTCCTCCATTTAACATAACCTATGTATGTCTGTCATTATCACCAAGCTTAAATTTAAACCCTTTTTAAAAAAGAAATTCCAATTATCAACCAAAAAAACACATTGATAATACAGAAAAATTTAACAGAAATGTGCAATCTTATCACAAACAAAAAAGTAAAGATTTCAATAAGCTTTTTACACAAAAAAGGGCGTTAACGCAAAAGTGACTAAAAACGGAACAAACATTTATGAATCTAATTAAATTTCCCAAAATACTGAAATGTTTAATTTTAGACATTATCCGTCATCTTTTAAATAAAATTTTGAATTATCATAACAATATATTTACATATGGAGAGTTTTTTTTTTAGAATTATGGAGGTCAATTATTGTAAAATAATAATAATGGGGGTTTTAAAAATAGAGTTATTTATGTAAATAAACAAAAAACTAATATTGTATTGAAATAAATAAATTTATTATACTAAGAAGCTGTTTTGTGCTGTTTGGTCATCATAAAAATTTAATTAAATTTATATTAAAAAAAAAGAGTACAAAGGGAAGTATAACTAACTAGGAGGAGAAGGAAAAACGTTTAAGTAAAAATCCTTGTGTATATAATTTGTATAACAATTATAAAATAAACTAAGTTAAATGTTAATATATTATAAACAACAAGTTTAAAATATTTATTAGTGTTATAGTTTTTATGTTATTTTTGATTTAAAGATTTTTGAAATAATTTTAATAAGATTTGAAATATCGATTATAAAAAAAGGCAATTAAAAAACTAAACACATAATTTTTATTATCAGCTGGAAGAGAACAAGTTGTCAACACTAAATGAAATTATGCAAATAAGTATCAAATTCTCAGCATCCTTCCCCCATCACATCAATTGTTAAATGTCTACAGAAATGATTCATGTTTCTTGTTTTTTTTTTCTAAAATATCTAAAGACCACAGAGAGAGATTACTTTAAAAATAAATAAAATGTTTATTATTTTAAAGCAAAAAAAGTAATAATACATATATACAAACAAATATACACATACATACATTTTCTAGATTAGAAAGAAGGTTTATTATGACAACAAACCCCCATAATAGAAATTGACCACAATATAATACAAGATGATGAGGTGTCAGATTGTGAAGCAGGCGAGTGTGGTAAAATAATTTATAGATTTATAATAAAACAAAAAACACAGGGCAACAACAACAAGATGATGATTAAATAGCAACAGGTATTATCGGTTAAATACAGCAGGATGGGATTTGTAATTAAAATGAATTTAGTCATAAATGGAAATTATTAAGGAGGGTTTTTTTGATAATAAAAAACAGGGGTTTCAAATTTAGCTCCTTTCTAGCTCAGTTCCAGTTCAGTTTAATTCAGTTCTAGTTCAGTTTAGTTGAGTTCTAGTTCAGTTCTTGTTCAGTTCTTAGTTCAGTCTTAGTTCAGTTGTAGTTCAGTTTTAGTTCAGTTCTAGTTCAGTTCTAGTTCAGTTCTAGTTCAGTCTAGTTCAGTTCTAGTTCAGTTCTAGTTCAGTTCTAGTTCAGTTCTAGTTCAGTTCTAGTTCAGTCAGTTCTAGTTCAGTTCTAGTTCAGTTCTAGTTCAGTCTAGTTCAGTTCTAGTTCAGTTCTAGTTCAGTTTAGTTTCAGTTTCTAGTTTCAGTTCTAGTTCTAGTTCTAGTTAAGTTCTAGTTCAGTTCTAGTTCAGTTTCTAGTTCAGTTCTAGTTCAGTTCTCGTTCAGTTCTAGTTCAGTTCTAGTTTCAGTTCTAGTTCAGTTCCTAGTATCAGTTCTCGTTCAGTTCTAGTTCAGTTCTAGTTCAGTTCTAGTTCAGTTCTAGTTCAGTTCTAGTTCAGTTCTAGTTCAGTTCTAGTTCAGTTCTAGTTCAGTTCTAGTTCAGTTCTAGTTCAGTTCTAGTTCAGTTCTAGTTCAGTTCTAGTTCAGTTCTAGTTCAGTTCTAGTTCAGTTCTAGTTCAGTTCTAGTTCAGTTCTAGTTCAGTTCTAGTTCAGTTCTAGTTCAGTTCTAGTTCAGTTCTAGTTCAGTTCTAGTTCAGTTCTAGTTCAGTTCTAGTTCAGTTCTAGTTCAGTTCTAGTTCAGTTCTAGTTCAGTTCTAGTTCAGTTCTAGTTCAGTTCTAGTTCTAGTTCAGTTCTAGTTCAGTTCTAGTTCAGTTCTAGTTCAGTTCTAGTTCAGTTCTAGTTCAGTTCTAGTTCAGTTCTAGTTCAGTTCTAGTTCAGTTCTTGTTCTAGTTCAGTTCAAATTCAGTTCAATTCTGTTCTAGTTCAGTTCAAGTTCAGTTCTAGTTCAGTTCTAGTTCAGTTCTAGTTCAGTTC